CAAAATCTTTTGGATGAAAAGACACAGAAAAAAATGAAAAGAGAGTCAGAGATGTCACAACAAGGAAGGGAAGTGGATTTTACTAATGTAACGCGGCTACCTCCATGCGATACCGTCACTTTTAAAGGTGGTTACAGAGAATGGCCGACCTTCAGAGATCTATTTTCAGCAATTTATATAAACAACTGAAAATTAAGCAATGTCGAAAAATTATTCCATTTAACGCAAAAGACAGTAGGAGAAGCTAAAGAAATTACATCACATGTCCCACTAACTAATGATGGATTTACATTAGCATGGAAAAATCTCACAGATCGTTACGAGAATAAACGAATGCAAATTAATGAAGAAATCAAGGCACTTTTTAATCTACCTGGAGTTTCTACTGAATCAAGTCACACTATACAAAAACTACAACGCACTGTTAATAGCAGCATTCAGACACTGGGGATGCTTGATGTCGATGTTAAAGGATGGGATCTGATTTTAATATACATTTGTTCAACAAAATTACCTAGAGACTTTTTAGAAGAATTCGAAAACTCATTAAGCGATTGTAAACAAATTCCAAAATGGGAACAGTTTGACGCTTTCTTAACAAACAAATTCAAAACTTTGGAATCATTTGGAAATATAAAACCCTCTACATCGAAATTTGCTCAACAAAAACCAAATAACAATCACACGCCTAGATTTTTGAAAACATTTCAAACAAATGTCTCAAAAAATACAAACAACTTTGGAGGGAGACCTACTAATGTAATATTACCTCAACAAAATAAGCCGAAAAACACTCAATCTTGTCAAGTCTGCAAATCAAATCATTTCATAAGAGATTGCAGTGAATTTTTGAAAAAGAGTGTGAATGACAGAATTCACATCGTGAAAACTTCACACTTATGCTACAATTGCTTGTCATCAAATCACGGAGTAACGGATTGCAAAAGTCGCTTTGGCTGCCGTATTTGTACTATGAAACACAATACTTTGTTACACAAGGGAACGGAAACCCAAACAACTAACTCATACCTAGCTCGAGTGGAAGCACGACCTAGTACTAGTGCTGCTGCTCTTACCAATCAAATACAGTCCACTACAAACCTAGAACCAACTACTATTACTACTTTAATCCACCAAGATAAGCAAATTTGGGAGCGACAATCTGGAGGAACACTACTTTTCACAGCAATAGTACAAATTGAAACCAAAGGACAACTTTACGATGTCCGAGCTCTAATAGACTCAGGATCACAATCCACCTTTATTTCGGAAAAGATGAAAAACTTTTTGACGTTACCTACACGGAACAACTTAGTTCATGTCACTGGCTTAAGTCAATTTGTTTCTAAGACTTCAACGAAATCTTGCTTGTTTACTATGAGATCCAAATACGACCCTAGCTTTAAACTGGAAGTCTGGGCTCCAGTTTTAAAGAACTTACCTTCAAATGTACCACCACAAAACTTAGATGAATCTCAACTTCGAGATGTAACAGCATTAGAACTGGCTGACCCCAAATTTTACGTCAGTCAACCAATCGATTTACTTATTGTATTGGACATTGGCCCATTAATATTTACAATTGGAACTCCAATGAAAACAGTTGGATCAATTTTAACTCAAAAAACCAAATTTGGATGGATAGTTGGAGGACCCATACCAGAAAGCATCCTTCAACGAAAACAAATATCACTTCTAAACACAACATCGATAGAGAAAGTACTTACACGTTTTTGGGAGGTGGAAGAGACCCCTAAAAACGTTTTACGTTCAGAAGAAGTCCAATTTTGTGAACAAAACTTCATTGAAACAACAATACGAAACAATGATGGAAGATATGTGGTGACTCTCCCATTCAAAAAATGCGAAGAATTGGGGAATTCCCGAAACATCGCCCTAGCTCAATTCTACAGAATGAAAAAAAAACTTATGAAAACACCAGAGATCAAAGAACAATATGATGCCTCAATACTTGAATACTTAGAACTTGGTCATATGAGGAAAATCAATCCGAATGAAATAGATAAAATGCCAAATTATTATTTACCACATCACGCAGTGATAAAACCAGATCGACTCACAACGAAGTTAAGAGTCGTATTTAACGCTATTGTCCTTCATCAAACAAAACAAGTCTCAATGACATACTATATCCTGGACCCATTCTTCAACAGGATTTAGTATTGCAAATTTTAAAATGGAGATTCTTCAAATATGCCTTCAATGCAGATATAACAAAGATGTATCGCCAAATACTTTTGGATTCAAAGCAAACAAAATATCAAAGAATTCTATTTAGAAAGTCTCCGGAAAACCCAGTAGAGGATTATGAGCTGCTAACAGTTACATTTGGAGTTAACTGCGCACCATATTTAGCATTGAGAACTCTTCTTAAACTAGCAGAAGATATAAAAGAATCATACCCTAGAGCCGCAAATATAATTTTGAATAATTTGTATGTTGATGATGTATTAGCTGGCGGCCATACTGAAGACGAATCGATCAAAGCCCGAAAGGAATTAACTGCCGCTTTAGACTCTGCTGGTTTTACACTAATGAAATGGGCGTCAAATGATCACAAAATAATAAAAGATATTCCACATGAATATTTATTACCACTAAATTGGTTAGACATTTCCGAAGATGCTTCTACTAAAACCCTTGGAATTCGGTGGAATATCTCAGGCGATTATTTTTCGTTTACACCACCTTCAATGGAAAATAAAAATATTTCTTCAAAAAGAGAAGTTTTATCAACTATAGCTAAATTATTTGATCCATGTGGATGGCTGGCACCGGTGGTCGTCGTAGCCAAGTTAATAATGCAACAAAACTGGCTAGACAAAATTGACTGGGATGATCATTTGAAGCCAATAACTCAGATGAACTGGAACAATTTCGTTAAAAATAGCAAAGATATTGAATATCTCAGATGGATGCAATACATGCTAGCTGGTTCTGTAAAGATTCATGGATTTTGTGACGCCTCGGAAAGCGCGTATGGAGCCACTTTATATATTAGGGTGGAAAATACTGACCATAAGACACATACATTCTTTTTAGCAGCAAAGACTCGTGTCAATACCCAGACTCGAGTTATGCGGGGCAGTATTACTCTCCAAGTTAGCTAAATCCATTGTAAATAGCCTACAAATATCAAAATATTCGACACAATTTTGGACCGATTCTACCATCGTCTTAGCATGGTTAAAATAGCCTCCTTGTCATTGGAGCACATTTGTGGGAAATAGAGTCTCGGAAATTGCCGATAATGTTGGACACGAAAATTGGAGACATGTTGATTCGGAAAATAATCCAGCGGATATTGCGAGCCGTGGATGTTCTCCCGCAGAGCAAAAGACTAGTGATCTCTGGTGGCAGGGACCTCAATGGCTCAGAATGCCAAAAGACCGTTGGCCATCGTATGAAATCCCAAATGACACAAATTTCGAAGCCAAAACGCCAAAGGTCATGACTCTTTTCGCGGAAAGAGATGACCCTTTAAAAAATTTCTCCTCATTATCTAAAGTTTATCGATCATACGCATATGCCCTAAGACTCTGGAAAAATACTGGAGCAAATAGGCAGCACCTTCGCACCCCATCAAAAGACCTTACTTCAGATGAAATCCAAGATGGAAAACGATCTTGCATAATTCGTACCCAGAAATTGGTATATGCAGACGAATGCAACGCACTTATGAAAAAGACTCAAATTTCTCCTTCAAGTCCTCTGTTGACACTCAAACCGTTTATAGACACAAAGGGTATTATTAGAGCAAATGGCCGATTGGTACAATCGCCAGCCCTTACCTATAGCGAACGTCATCCAATAATATTACCACATGGCGCAAAACTTAGCAAATTATTAGTCGAATTTACTCATAAGGTTACTTTACATGGGGGTAATTAATGACCCGAGTATTAAGGTCCGAATTCTGGATATTTGGACTCAAGTCGCTTATCAAACAAACCATACGAAAATGTCGAATCTGCTTAATTCACAAAAAACAAACCCAAACACAAATAATGGCTTCGCTACCACCCGAACGCACTTTTCTTTCTCGACCCTTCACAAACACAGGGGTGATTTTGCAGGACCCTTTAACATTAAAAGTTATTCAGTTAACATTAAAAGTTTATTACAAAAGGCTACGTGTGCCTGTTTGTTTGTTTCGCCACTAAGGCTATACATTTAGAACCCACAAGCGATTTGTCGACATATGCCTTTCTTGCCGCTTTTTCTAGGTTTATTAGTCGGCGAGGTCGTTCGTCTTGTATATTTTCGGGCAACGGAACTAACTTTGTGGAAGCGGTTGATCTATTAAAGCGAGATAGATTAGCTTCCATGAAAAGTATTCAAAATAGCACAATTCAAAATAATTTCACTCAAAATCTTACTTGAAAATTTGTTCCTCCTGGTGCTCCGCACATGGGTGGCTTGTGGGAAGCTGGCGTCAAATAATTTAAAATTTATTTGCGAAAAAGTATCCCAAGAATGAATTTTACCTTTGAAGAATTTACCACAATTTTATCAAGAATTGAAGGCTGTCTCAACTCACGACCCTTAAGTCCTGCTAGCGACGACCCAAACGACCTTTCCCTCTTTGACACTTGGTCATTTCTTAATAGGAACACCTATTCTTACCCCGGCTGAACCAGACATTTCAGATACAGATTTAAGCCTAGTCAATCGTTGGAAAAGACTCAAAGTTATTTAACAATACTTTTGCAACAGATAGAAGTTAGAATATCTTTACGAACTTCACAGAAGAACTAAGTGGAAATATGAAAAAGAGAACATCAAAGAAGAAGATTTAGTTGTCGTAAAAGATGATAGATTGGCTCCGCATGAATGGAAGTTAGGTCGTATCGAAAAAACGTATCAAGGCAAGTGGCAATATTGGCAGACCCATAACAAAATTGTCAAATTGTTTTCCGACTGACTAGTCGGATTCTCACTCAAAAAATAATTTAGTACTCGCCTTAATTTCTTTTCAGATATGGCCGCTTACTTGCCTAACCAGGACTGCCGTCTGGACGATCGCAACCGTAGCCCAGACTCACCTGCCCGTCCCACAACAAGAAGCGCCAATCGACCCAGACGGCCAATCGATCGTCCCAGTTCCACATCCCCTGAAAGACGTCAACGAAGTCGATCCGATGCAAGACCCCACCAACGCAAAGAAAGACCAAGCTACTGGCAATATTCATGTGGACTATGCCAAGAAGACCATGCCTTCAGTGCCTGTGAGAGGTTCCGCCGGCAGACGCCCTTTCAGCGGTATGAGACCGTGGAGCGTCGGGGGTATTGCCGAAATTGCCTGGCGAGAAGTCATTTGGCCCCCGACTGCCCGTCTTTAACTGGTTGCCGGAGATGCAACTGCCGGCACCATACCCTATTGCACGGGGCGTCTCAATTGGAAGAGGTATCCCTAAATATAGAAGCCGTCACCACCCCAGCTTTCGCATGGGACTTAGTATTTGTACCGACGGCTATGGTGCGCATAACGGCCGAGGGCATGGAGGGGTTCAGCATGTTTCGAGCCATAGTTAGCCAATCGGCGACGATGTTCAATATCTCGTATGCAGCTTTCCGTCGCTTGGGTCTGCAGTCGCGGAACTACAAAGGGGAGCGATTCACCACCTTCACCGTTTCGCCCCGCCGCACAAACTCTGATTGGAGTCTGAAGCTAAATGCTTTAATAATTGAAGACCTCCCCAGGCGCATTTACTCAGACCCGATATTAGAAGACCCCACGAGGTGGTTTACGAACTCTGCTCTTGCTGACCCTGATCCCAGAGGAAATAGTCCGATCGATGTGGAACTGGGAGCGGACACTTACTCTGCCATAAGGAAAAATGGATGCACCGCAGCTGGCATTGGAGATGTCCTGGCCTACAATACTCAACTGGGCTACGTGTTTGCTGGGCCAATCAAGAACATGCCGAGGAACTGAAGACCGAGGATCTTTATGGTATATTACAAATAAATACTTACACTTGTCATTCGAGGCCCAGAAAATGTTCATAAATTAACGCAATTTTGCCCAACACTGTTGGTTGGGTATTTACCGGCGGCTGCAAAGATTACATCGAAACAAAATGATGTAAATAATATACGCACCTACATACACACATACATTGATGCAGCTACCGGTAAATTCCAATGCTGAATTCCAATAAATAAGCATCGTCAACAACCAAAACTGGTTTAATGTGACGATGCAAATTGGACAATAGTTAGTTCTAATCGAATTACCGCCACGAACACAAGTTTCCCCCTCGAGTGACAAGTGAAAGTGTCTGTGTAAAATCAAAGTAAAAATTAATAACATTAAATTGAACATTAAACAGTGAACATTCAACAACAATAAGAACATTACTAAAAAAGAACATACAACACTGAATTAAAAAATGTCTAAATTACAAATACTTAAAATCTACTGAAATAAAACTAAGAAAATAGTGGATTAAAAACTATGAAACATTTTATAAAATAAATAAACTTAAGAGCTATTGAATTAAAACCTAAGAACTAGTAAATTAAAAACTTAAAATAAATTACAAAACATAAAAACTAATTTTACCTACTCCTAAATTGCACTAAACCCCAAAAAAGTTACTGAAAAATAATACTAAATAAAAACCCGCAATAGAAAAACACAATAATTGTTATAATTTATAAAAAGGCAAAAAGGGCAAAAAAGGTAAGCCTAACAACAAGTGCTATATCCAAATCTGAACCGATTTAGATATAATTTAAAGTAAATAATAAGTTTGACCAAATTCAATCACGTTCTGAATTTTGTTAATATTTGACATACACAGCGTGTTTGATGCATCAAATACATGAAATCGGCCGAAAATGTATATAATCTCAATCGATTTCAATATAATTTAACAAATAATTTTTTTAGATAAAATCCATCAAGCGTTTCGAATTTCATTGAATTTGGGAATACTTAGCGTGTTTGGTGCATCAAATGTTTGAAATCGGCCGAAAATATATATGGGAACTATATCCAAAGCTGAACCGATTTCAATATAATTTGACAAATTAATTTTTGTTCCCAATTCTGTTACTCATTCCAAATTTCATTGAAATTGGATATACATGGCGTGTTTGGTGCATCAAATACATGAAATCGGCCGAAAATGTATATGGGAGCTATATACAAATCTGAACCGATTTCAATATATTTTGGAAAATAATCTTTTTTTATATAAAATCCATCACACGTTTCAAATTTCATTGAAATTGGGAACACATAGCGTGTTTGGTACATCAAATGCTTGAAATCCGCTGAAAATATATATGGGAGCTATATCCTAATTGGAACCAAATTTCTTTCTCATATAACAAATTTGGAGGCTGTATCTGTAATCGATCAATAGATATGTGCATATAAAAAATATTTTTTTTAGAGGTATCTCCGATTCTGATGCTATATCTCCAGTTCCAAGTGGGATTTCAAAAACTTATATAGCCCATGTTACTTTCAGGCAATGTTGTAGTATACACGGAAATTTTCAGGAAAATCTGTTCAGCGGTTTTCGAGTCCATAAATTACAAACATACAAACATTTTCCTCTTTTATATATATAGATATTCTGTTCCCAAAGTGTTAGGCTATTTTTGGGTAGCCTTTGAAGACATATGAACACTAGAATAGGATCTCAGCTTTCAGTTTTATTCAGTTTATTGTTTAAATGCCACAGACGTTCAACGTCACTAATGTCAGTATTGTTAATATACACTGCCGAGAGTAAGTCTATAAATGTAGGCCAAGAAAGAAAGTCACCATTAAATATTTCTATGTCACAAGGCGGTAAATTCAACCTATGACCAGAAGTATCACCACCACAGTCGTCACCTAACCTTTTTTCTTCAGCAAAATAATTAAGACACTTGTCAAAAACCTTTTTTATCTTTTCCCATAACGTTCGAACCTCATTCTAAAATATATATATATATCGAGCTCTTCGTCCCGTTGGGAACTGAAGTTGGCATTACATTTAACCAAAGCACCAGTAGCTCGGATGAACAAAACTAGAGGTGTGGTGGCCGTTCATTTTAAATTAATGACCGTAATTAGGAAAATGTCTAAAGTATTCGTGGAAAAAAGTTTTTCACAAAACAAAAAATGTAATAAAAAGTTCTTTAAAGTACGTGATGCTTCAAGAAAATTGAAAATTGAATAATACACTGATTTTATAATAAGTCCTTGACTAATCGCAATAATATTTCGCAGGTACCGCAAAAGTATTTAGGTTTAAGGTGGTTAAACCACTCTGGATTGTGTGTGTGTATTGTATTGTGTTCGTCGTAAACAAAAATGAGAGTGACGGACTTGACACTTAATATTGATATTATTTTTGAAATGGACGGTTTTTTTTAAAATTGATTTTCACAACGCAAGAATCACTGTATGTCACTATTTATTTAAAATAAATAAAGATGTGTACATACCTGTGTTGCTGATATTAATTTATTTAAATAAATAAATGAAATAAAAATGTATAAATGATCGTTGATCTCTTGTGTTGGTTGTTGATCTATAATGCTGTTTTATTGAAAATTGTTCGTAAAACAATTATATGACCTTTTTCAGGATGTAGGGTTTGCTGATGCTTTCTGGCCGTGAACCAATTAGCGAGTACAGAATATGAACGTATGAAAAAAGCTAAGACGTCGCAAAGCGAGGTTTAAAAAGCAGCTCGTTACATTTCGTTACTACATTTGTATTTGTCTACGAATAAAATAAAGATGTATAAAAAGGGTGGTAGACAAAATGTTACGAAGGAATGAAAAAATCCCATGGGGAAGTTTTATTCAAAATAACTATGAAAATGGCTTTGAAATTATACAGTAACTGTCCCAGAATACTACAATTTTTTTCTTAAGTAGAGCTGGGCCTCTTTCCCTTTGTAATGAATTCTCATTGCCATCCACGGTTTTTCGTATGCAGTTTTCCTCTCTCGAAGTTACATCATTCTACGAATTATTTTACTAAGATCTCCGTTAACCTATTGAAATCCTTGTCTTTTTCATCTATGCTTAAGCATTCAATGTTTACTTGCTCTAGACTTTCTTTCACTAGGCTCCTAAGTTTCATCCAGTCAGTCTTGGATTTGTCCCGAAAAAATATTGGGTTCGGCGGCGGCCGTGTTAGTTAAAATCTTATAGGACAATAATCTGAAAAGGAGTGTTCATCGAAATTCACCAATTCTGAATCTCGTTAATGAAATTTTCTGAACAAAAAGTAATGTATTTTTTACAACGGTTGCCTTATTCCCAATGTTAAGAATTATTAGGTCGTTAGTACTTAGATTAGTGTTAGTATTACCCTGCGCAATGTGGTGTGAGTTAGTATCGCTATCTATCAGCACCTATCTTGACTGTTTTTTTGCTTTGCTCACCAGCCGCTAGAGTTCCGACATAGGTGGTAGTGTCACCGAGTCGAACGGTAGATATACTGACGATAGATATATGTTGCCGTTCCCTGCTTCATTACTGTTATATCCGATGTTGACAACTCTGAAGAGAAAAGAAAACATAATTATTTGTGACATATTACAATTTCTCGGTCGAGACCCTGTATTAACCCAGAAAAGTTTTTAGTTACAATGGTTTAGTCCAGAGACCCTGTATCTTACCTATATGTACAGGGTGAGATGAAATTGCAACCAACTTCAGATTGCTGTCATTTCTAAGCCACTCGTCCGACGGATTTTAAAATTATTCCATTGAAAGCTCATTATATTGTTAATAAGCGTACAAAAGCATTTCCGTGAAAAAAAAAAAACTTATTCTTATGGGTTGTCTTTCTGTGTAAGACAGAGTAGGTGTTTGTGACAAGCGTCTTTTAAGCCTAATTATCCCGAATTCGTCCAGAAATGGATTTAAGGGTAAAAGAGAACTCTTTGCATTTAAGGGAACCTTATCTGACAAAGACTGGTACTCATCTTTTTGAGATAAAACTGCCAGACGTAATCTTACCGCTTTAATCTCCTTGTAAGGGTCTTCTCATGGTAAATGTGACGACCTCTATGAACAGGATGTGTCCGTTGGAAAAATCTAAAAATATAGGAAAGGACTATCTAATGAAGAGAAGTCTTCTACGGAGTCGCAATAATTATTGAAAAAAGAGACATATGTCTTGACAGCAATCATTTCAATTTCATGCTGAGAAAAATTGGATAAATCATAATGAGAACTTTTTTACTGTGTACTGTGTAGACGCAGGAAGATTTTATAAAATATAACAGATCTTAATTGAGCGCGAGAATTTAAAGCTGTACGCAAGACATGATATCCTGTTAACACGTCGTCGATGTACATGCACCTACGTAGTATGTGTGCAGCGAGAGGATATTCATCGTTAGTATCGTCAGCTAACTATAAAAGCGTCCGTATGTCACCCTGAACAGGTTTTTGAGGAGAATCCCGGAGAAGTATTCTCTGTAATTGAGAATGTGCCGGATCGACACGAATTTGGCGATACATCTGATAGTTATATAAAAATTTGAATAATCTCCACCTAAGAATAAGGAATGCTAAGTCATTTAGTCATAATCATTTAGACTTTCAGACTATTAGGGAGCATAATAGCCTATGTAATAGAGTGTGATGTATTTTCTTACATTTACTACAATTATATGTGGTTGACTAAATGTTTAGGGCACAAACAATTTAAACAACACTTATGTCACCTGATAGAGTTAATTCTTTCAGGAACAGATATGATGAAATTGCCGTGGACATAGAATGAATGTTTTATTGGAGGGTGCAGGGGATGACCTAGATGCCGAAGGTGAATTACGAGGCGTAAAATTAGGAGATCGGTTCTTGCCAACATTCGTGGAATGTGAACAAACTTCCTTACTACTTGGAGGTTTGACTTTGTCAATACCTCTAATGTCTCGAAGACAGGTGGGAGTTTGGATGCGAAATATATCCAAATTTTTCCAGGAAGACAAGGCAGATTTATCTTGAACTAGCTGAACCCGGTGCGCTTCGCTCCTCTTTTGATTTTATATGCATTGAAAATCTTATATACGAATATTTGTTAGTAAAAAAATTAAACAAATTCAAAAATTAAAAAAAAATAATTATTGTAATACTTTTATGCGTAAACAAGCAAATAGCTCGGTCTACCAACGCGTGAACATGCCAGGCATAGCTAACCATGAGGAAACAGGAACATGTTAGATTTAGTCCGCATACACGAAGAGTTTGTCTTTCGGACTTATTAATATCATAGCAAAAGCCGAACATGTAGGAAACTGCAATCTTTTGAAGTTGAATGGCATTTCTGTTGCAATTAGAGAATTCGAGGTGACAACATTCTTTCCCGTTATAATCGTATTCTCAATTAAATCGTTGTGTAGTTGTTTACTGTTAGTCTAATACCATTGCAAAGGCTTTGTGGGTAATACTTTTTAACATGGTACAATAAGGAGGTAGAAACGCTTCGTAAAACTACAGAAATACAGCTCTGAGACTATGCCCGCTTCCTGTCAGAATTATTAAAAGTTATAGGCAACAAGTTGTTTTCATTTATTTGATATTTTTTGTTCATTTCTTAAATGTGTCAAATATCGCGAAAGAAGAATAAAATGTGTGAATGTTCTCTCAAAAATTT